AAGAGGCTATATGAAGAAGAATGTGACACCAGGATTGGAAGAAGACTTATTAACAACTTGTGATACACAGATAATATAATCTTGTTTGTCGAAAATGAAGATGACCTGAAGCACTTACTGATAAAGGTCAAAGACAACAGCCTTCAATATGGGTTATGCATAAAAGTAAACAAAAAATCCTCACAACTGGATCAGTAAACAATATCAGGATAAATGGAGAAAAAAATGAAATTGTCAACAATTCCACTTTGAACAATAATCAATGTCCATGGAAGCAGCAGTCAGGAAATCAAATGTGGTGTTTCATTGGGCAAATCTGCTCCAAAAATCATCTTTAAAGTGTAAAAAAAAAAAAAAAAAAGGTGTCATTTTGACTAAAGTTAACCATGTCCAAGCCATTGTCCTTTCAATTGCCTCATATACATGCAAAAGCTGGGCAATGAAAAAGGAAGACAGAAGAATTGATGTATTCTAATTGTGGTGCTGGTAAAGAATATCAAATATACCATGGATGGCCAGAAAAACCAAACAAATAAATCTCAAAAGAAATACAATCAGAATGCCCCTTAGAAATGAGGATGGCAAGACATTGAGCTGGACAGTAAATAAGGAAGACTGAAGAAGAGTTGATGCTTTTGAGTTGTGGTATTGGCAAAGAATGCTGAAAGTACCATAGACTGCTAAAAGAACTAACAAATCTGTCCTGGAAGAAGTGCAGCTGGAATGCATTGAATAAGTATGGTGAAAGGATACAACCTCACTTACTTTGGACACATCGATCTGGAAAAACCAATCCCTAGAAAAGGACATCATGTTTGGTAAAGTAGAGGGTTAGCAAAAATAAGAGAAAATTTTAATGAAATGGATTGACACACTAGACACAACAATGGATTCAAACATACCAATGACCATGAAGATGGTATAGGACCAAGGAACACTTCTTTCTATTGCACATGAGGTTACTATGAGTCAGAGCTGGCTTGATGGCAACTAACAGCAACAAGAGAGTATGATGACATGCTCAATACATATAACTAGTAAATAGCAGAGCCAAGACATGCACCCATCTCTTGTGACTAGTTTTCTTTTCTTTTCTTTTCTTTTTTTTTTTTTTTTAGTGCCTTGATTTATCCCTTAATTTTCTTAAGGTCACAGGAATTAACTGGACAAGAACCTTCTTTGGAAATAATATTTTAAATAATATTTAAAAAGAAGTAATGGAAAGCCATTAAAAATCACAAATACTGACACACACACACACACACAAAAGGAGTGGGGGGGCGGAGAGAAGGCATCTTCATTTCTCTACTTGTTTAATGGCAAGATACTTCAGACAAAATACATGTCAGACATACCACTTTGGATCAATTCACTCTCCTTGTGGAATGTTCTCACTTATAGCTAGCAGGTGGTGGTTGTTGTTGTTATGTGCTGTCGAGTTGTCTCCGATTCATAGCGACCTTATGTACAACAGAAAGAAATGCTGCCTGGTCCTGTGCCAGCTTCACGATCCCTACTATACCTGAGCCCATCACTGCAGCCACCATGTCAATCAACCTTGTTGAGGGCCTTCCCCTCTTTCACTGACCCTCCACTTTACCAAGCATGATATCCTTCTCTAGAGAATGGTCCCTTCTGACAACATGACCAATATAGATCAGATGAAGTCTTGCCTTCCTTGCTTCCAAGGAGAATTCCAGCTGCACTTCTTCCAGGACAGATTTGTTGCATTCTTCACCAACACCACAACTCAAAAGCATCAACTCTTCTTCAGTCTTCCTTATTCTTTGTCCAGCTCTCACAAGCATTATGAGGCAATTGAAAATACCATGGATTGAGTTAGGCACATCTGAGTCTTCAAGGAGATATCTTTGCTCTTCATTGTTGAAAGAGGCATTTTGCCACAGATTTGCCCAATGCAATACGTCATCTGATGTCTTGACTGCTGCTTCCACTGGCATTGACTGTAAAACCAAGTATTATGAAGTCTTTGACAACTTCAATCTTTTCTCCATCTATCATGATGCTGCTTACTGGTCCAGCTGTGAGGATTTTTGTTTTCTTTATATTGAGGTGCAATCCATACAGTAGACTTCATCAGTAAGTGCTCCAAGTCATCCTCACTTACAGCAAGCAAAGTTGTGTCATCTGCCTATCACAGGTTGTTAATGAGTCTTCCTCTAATCCTGATGCTATGTTCTTCATGTACTCCAGCTTCTCGGATTATTTGTTCAGCATACAAATTGAATAAGTATGGTGAAAGGATACAACCCTGAAGCACTTTCTTCCTAATTTTAAACCATGCAGTATCCCCTTGATCTGTTCAAATGACAGCCTCCTGATCTATGTACATGTTCCTCATGAGTACAATTAAGTGTTCTGGAATTCCCATTCTTCTTGATGTTATCCACAATTTGTTGTGATCCACACAATCGAATGCCTTTGCATAGTCAATAAAACACAAGTAAACATCTTTCTAGTATTCTTTGCTTTCAGCCAAGATCCTTCTGACATCAGTTATGATATTCCTCATTCCATGTCCTCTTCTGAATCCAGCTTGCATTTCTGGAAGTTCTCTGTCAATATAGTGTTGCAACCATTTTTTAATTATCTTCAGTAAGATTTTACTTGCATGTGATATCAATGATATTGTTTGATAATTCCTATATTCTGTGGGATCACCTTTATTTGGAATGGGTACAAATATAGATCTCTTCCAGTCAGTTGGCCAGGAAGCTGCCCTCCAAATCTCTTGGAGTAGCCAGGTGAGTGCCTCGAGCGGGGAATCCATTTGTTGAAACATCTCAATGAATATTCTGTGAACTCCTAGAGACTTGTTTTTCACCAGTTCCCTCAATGCAGCTTTGACTTCTTCCTTCAATACCATTGGTTCTTGATCATATGCTACCTCCTGAAATGAATGATCATCTACCAATTCTTTTTGGTATAGTGACTCTGTGTATTCCATCCATCTTCTTTTGATGTTTCCTGCATCATTCAACATATTGCCCACGGAATCTTTCAGTATTGCAACTTGAAGTTTAAATTTTTTCCCAGTTCTTTCTGCTTGAGAAATGCTGAACATATTCTTCTCTTTTGGTTTTCTAACTCCAACTCTTTGCACATTTCATTAAAATAATTGACTTTGTCTTCTCGAGCTGCTCTTTTAAATCTTCTGTTCAGCTCTTTTAACCTGTTGATTCTTCCATTTGCTTTAGCTACCCTCCATTCAAGGGCAAGTTTCAAAGTCTCTTCTGACATCTATTTTGATATTTTCTTCCTTTCCTGTTTAATGATCTTTTGCTCTCTTCATGGATCATGTTCTTGATGTCATCCTACAATTCTTCTGATTTTTGGTCATTGGTGTTTAATGCATCAAATCTATTCTTTAAGTGGTCTCTAAATTCAGGAGGGATACAATCAAGGCCATATTTTGACTCTCTTGGATTATTTTTGTCTTCAGCTTCAACTTGAACTTGGCATATGATCAGTTGGTAGTCTGTTCCACAATCAGCTCCTGACCTTGTTTTGGCTGAAGATATTGAGCTTCTCCATCACCTCTTGTCACAGCTTCAGTTGATCTGATTCCTGTATACTCTGTCTGGTGAAGTCCATGGGTATAGCTGCCATTAGTATTGTTGAAAAAAGATATTTGTGACGAATAAGTCATTGGTCTTGCAAAATTATATCATGCCATTTCCAGCATCATTTCTATCACCAAGGCTGTATTTTCCAACTACTGGTGATTCTTCTTTGTTTCCAAATTTGCATTCCAATTCAGTTCAATGAAAATTGAAAATGCAGGGTCCTTGTTAAAAGATTATGAAGAATTTCAAGATGGAAATAGCAAACTATTCACCCAAGAGTAAGGACCTTTTAAGCAAGAGGTCTCATGCAGTTGTACAAGTTGCATACCCTTGAATTCAGCCCTGGTAGTTACTGCTTCCTACTATTTCTGGTGTAGCTATTCAATAAAGTTATCATATTAATGTTTCTAGTCACAAAGCCTCAAAACCTTTCAGAGTTAACAGTATAGTAAATTTACATAATCTTAATTTCAATAGCAATATGGTTACATAACCATATGGCAGATTAAAGTAATTATCATTGATTGATCTATAACTACTTTGCAGAAGACAAAAAAAGGGGAAGGCTTGGTTCTAAATCCAGTGCTGTCCTCGGGTAAGATGAAGGGGCTCTGGAGGGCCTCTCAGCTCTAAAGTTCTGGGGTCCTACATGAGTTCAGGAAATAGACTAACGAAAAGTTTCAAAACATGGTTAACACATTTCTTTTCCTTTCCTGTCACTGCTGATAAGAATGACATTCTCAAAGAATGGTATCATGAGGAGGTATCTGTCAGTGAAAAGGAATTCCTTAGGGATATTAGTTCAGAATTGAAAAGCTCTTTAGCAAGAAGAATAACATCTGCCAAGTGTTTAAGTGCAATTCCTTTCCAAGTTGTCTCTGGAGGCTTCCGCAGGAGAAAAGGAACTTCAGAGAAGTCCCCTCAGAAGGGCTGCACACAGCAGCGTGCAGCAGCGTGCAGCATACAATCCAGGGCACATAGTACACGCTGAGGCCTTATTTATGCTGCAAGTCAGGAGCTGTCACACAGATTCGCTCAGTTAATCTTCACAGAAATTCTGAAATGTGGATAATTTTTTACAGTTGCAGAAATAGGTTCAAAGAAGTTTAAAAAACTTGCCCAAGGTCACAGAGCTAGTAAATGATAGAGTCCCTCCCAATTCGTGCCTATCAGGTCCCAAAAGGAGTCGATTCTCCACTCAGGGCTTGCTTCCCTAGACTGAACTGACAAAGTGGGAAGCCACTAACAGGCGTGATCCTGCGCTTGCTCAGGGACCTTTTAGGGGGCGTGTCTTCGCAGTTCTGGAGGTTCCCACAGAGCAGGAGGCGCTGGCTAACCGGGCACCTCGCCCAGTCTCCTGGGCAATGAGAGAGAACTTATGTTTGAGGGAGGGAGCGCAGGCCGTGAGGCGGAATGGAGACTGAAGCTAGCAGTCCACGTTCCCCAAGATCCAGCCCCAGCTCAGTGCTGAGCCTGGACGCCCACCTGGGCGTGGACACCCGCCTTTGGGTCAAAGTGTTCTTTACAGCTTTGTACTCGCTCATCTTTGCTCTAGGCACCGCTGGCAATGTGCTGTCCATCCACGTGGTGCTGAAAACGCGTACTGGGCACCCAAGTCGCCTGCGGTACCATGTGCTTAGCCTGGCGCTCTCCTCCCTGCTGCTGCTGCTGGTCAGTGTGCCTATGGAGCTCTACAACTTCGTGTGGTTCCACTACCCCTGGGTCTTTGGCGACCTGGGCTGCCGCGGCTATTACTTCATGCGCGAGCTGTGCGCCTACGCCACGGTCCTCAGCGTGGCCTGCCTTAGCGCCGAGCGCTGCCTGGCCGTGTGCCAGCCGCTGCGCGCCCGCCGCCTGCTGACTCCGCGCAGGACCCGGAGCTTGCTCTTGCTGGTCTGGGCCGCCTCGCTTGGCCTTGCCCTGCCCATGGCCATCATCATGGGACAGAAGCATGAGCTAGAGACCGAGAGCGGGGAGCCAGAGCCCGCCTCGCGAGTGTGCACGGTGCTGGTGAGCCGCACCACGCTCCAAGTCTTCATCCAGGTAACTGCAAGACGGAGTGCAAGGGCTTCCTCCAGAGGAGCAGATACTGGGAGGAGGGGGAGAAGTCTTGGCCAGTGTTTTAACCTTGAATACCCCAACCGTCCCAAAAGTTGGGTGTCATTGGCCTCATTTTACAGAAGACTTAGGGGGATAGACTTGGCCCAGGTGAAACAATAAGAGAAGTCCAGATTTGATTTCAAGGTTGACTCTGCAAGTCTTATAATTCATACATGAATGGGGCTCAAACTTAACTGGATATAAAAATTACCTGAGGAGTTCGTTAAAAATACAGATGCCATGTCCCATACTAGCTTCTGATTCAGTGTGTCCTGAAGCCGGCATTCAAACAAGCTCCCCGGGTGAATCAGAAGCAGGAATTCTGTGGCCCTTCCCACAGTCTGCGTGGGAAAGGCGAAGGAACTCCGGAAGGATTGCTCTTTTGAGGGCTCTGCTCAGGCTGTTAGCCTCATTTCCTTATTATCCTCCCAGCCTCTTCTCCCTCCCTACATATACATAACCTGGTATTTTCTGACATTTAAATTGAAAGGTAGGCCTTTCCTCTACTGTCTCCCTTTCCAAACCTCTTGTTATTCAAAGTGAAGCTCTAGTCTAAAGACTTTTCCCAACACCCCAACACCCAGGACTCTTCTGAATTCACTCAGCATGTGAATTCACTTACGGCAGTTTTCAATACCTTTTCTGAAAATGATTCCCACCTTGTCTTAGTGTTCATCTTGGGTCCCAGATTGGGTGGTGGGACTAGTGGGATGGAGCTTGATGCTCTTCTGGTCCAGTTATGTGCTGAAGAAGAAGGATTTTGTACCTTAGTTTCCACATCTGTAGGATAAGAATTATAATAAGGCCTTGATCTCACTGATCTTTTTAAGGGAAAACTTTTATTCTTACTGTAAAATTTTTCAAAACATTTAAACAGCAAAGAATATATTAAAGAAAATAACAAAAGTAAAAAAGGAATTACGAAACAAGAGATAAATGGTTGCAAAAATTTATCTACGAATTTAGGCTAAACTAATAAAAAAAATTATGAAGTTTAGCCGGGGTTATCACTGTGGTTTTGGTTTGGGGTTTGGAGTTATGTATTATTTTAAAAACCCTAAAAATTGCCCATAGCATATAAAAATGGTTTATATTGTTTCATATGTCAAAGTTCAATTATGCTTTAAATAATAGTAGCTCTTTTATTTAAATCAAAATATGATACTTACACTATCTAATTCTAAAGGATCTGATTAAGTGGAAATTATGTATTCAAAAGAACTATATTGAAATAATCTATATTGAAGGAGAGTATCTTAGGAAATAAAATTTGTCAGACTTCAATAAAAGTGAATGCAGCATTAATTAAATAATAGCAGTAAAACAAAAAGAAAAATCAGCCAAAATTACTTTGAAAGAGAGAAAACACAGGTGAAGCCCTGCTATTGTGGATGAGCAAGATCAGTTTCTGTGAAAGCTGAACTACCCCTGCCTGTGGTTTTAGTCTCTAAGCCCTCATAGCCTAACCATTCTTCTTCTCTGAGGACTCTGCACATCACAGCCTCAGAGCAGCATGGGAAACGCATCTGTTCCCAGCATCCTCCATGCCAATTCTGAGCTGCAGCAGAGTAGAAAGTGCACTGCTGCTCACATCTCAGGTTGACTATAGCTCTCTGCTGGGACCTGCCTGGTATGAATCATGGGGATGAACCTTACAACCACATATTCAAAATGTCTGGTAGCCAAGTCTTACAATTCCTCACAGATTGGGGTTATAGCTTCCATGTTGTACCTGTTTTGGAGTTAGTTAGACATGAAAACGAAAACTCTAAGTAAGATTTCTGGTGTGGATAAACTACTTGCATACTTTACTTGCCATGGTTCAGACTGACCAATGCATTTTTTTCAGTAACAGTCTCTGGTGCTGAAGCTGTGGAATGTGCTAGGGACAAGCATTTAACATTATATGTAAAAACCAAAACAAACTCACTGCTGTTGAGTCAATAGGACTCATAGCAACCCCTCCTTGGGTTTCCAAGGTGGTGTCTTTATGGAAGTAGATTGCCCGATCTTCCTTCTAAGGAGTGGCTGGTGGGTTTGAACCACCAGCCTTCTGGTTAGCTGTTCATTGCTGTGAGTTTTATAACAGTGTTGTTTGACAACCAGCATATTAAAATATTCAACTTGAAATATACAATATATGTTAACACAACAAAACAAACAGACTCAGGTTAGGATTATTTTGGCTTTTACTGTTGAATCACTTTCCTTATTAACCCGTGTTCTTAGACCAAAAAAAAAAAATGTTCATAATTTTTGAAAGAGTAAAAAGCCATGTAATTTTTACAGAAAGATTTGAAAACTTCCAAAGATTAATCATCAATTTATGAATATATTTTTACTTTCAATCACTGTCTTGACTGATATTGAAGCTATAGTTTGATAGTAATTAAGTATGTCGTCATTGATAAGGATTTGGTTCAGCAATAAACTAAAATTATTTTCATGGTCAGTGCTTTATTTTTCCCCTAGTCTTGCTGACTTATGAACATACATTAAGATTGGGGGAAAAAAAACCTGAATGATAACACCTTTAAAAGGTGCAACATCCAATTCAGATATTTTGCCCTGATTTTACAGTTAGGTGGCATAGTGTTATTAAATATGGTTTAGTTGTTTTTCTTTTTAACAGTGTTTGCAAAGAGAAAGAGTAAGAGAGCCTTAGACCCAATCTTCCTTCTGAGGAGTGGCTGGTGGGTGTGATCACCAGCCTTCTGGTTAGCTGTTTATTGCTGTGAATTGTATTGTTTGACAAGCAACATATAAAAATATTCAACTTGAAATATATAATATGTGTTAACACAACAAAACAACCAGACTCAAGTTTTACAATTAAAAAATTATACATTGTAAAAAACAAGACATTATATAATAAATTTGTCTTTCATAAATCAAAAAATGTCAAATAATAATACAAAGCTTATAATGTAAAACAGTAGTCCCCGTCCTCCACACTTTGATTCATATTTTCTAATTGAAGGGCAACTTACTACCACCCATTCTTAGCTATTGCTACTCTCTTCTTATATATTTCTAACATGCTTATTTCTTATGTCCAAGTTTTAAATTTTATCCACTGTCTTCTGATTGTAGAAAATGAGCATTTGGCTATCTGACTTTCCCATCCTCAACCTCCACACACCATATCCACGCATTTACACTTCCCTTGCCATACTTCCAGTGTAATTATACTATGGTATTTGATTATATTTGTGTTCAGTATTTATATTATTATACTTATTATGTAAACATTCTTCCCAGATAAGCCATGTCATATATTTTATTGTTTATTTCCAACACAAGCTTATTTTCCTTGAAGTTTATAATAATCTTTTTTCAGTTACTTAGTTTTCTATGTACCTATTTCTAAAAGTGAGAATGACTTGAAGCACTTGCTGATGAAGGTTGAAGAATACAGTCTGCAGTATGGATTACACCTCAATATAAAGAAAACAAAAATCCTCACAACTGGACTAATAAGCAGCATCATGATAAGTGGAAAAAACATTGAAATTGTCAAAAGCTAAAAACACCAAACTCACTGCTGTCGAGTGGGATCAGACTTATAGTAACTCCTCCTTGGGCTTCTGAGACAGTATCACTATGGAAGTAGATTGTCCAGTCTTTCTTTCTTCCAGGGAGTGGCTGGTGGGATTGAACCACCAGCCTTCTGGTTAGCAGTTAAGTGCCTTAGGCACTACGCTACCAGACTACATATAGCACTGGGCAAACTGGCTGCAAAAGACCTCTTTCAAGTGCTGATGGGCAAAGTTATCTCCTTGAGGGCTAAGGTATGCCTCACATAAGTCATGGTATTTTCAATCGCCTCATATGCATGTGAAAGCTGGACAATGAATAAGGAAGACTGAAGAAGAGTCACTGTTTTTGAGTTGTGGTGTTGCAGAAGAATGCTGAAACTGTCGTGGAGTGCTAAAAGAACTAACAAATCTGTCCTGGATGAAGTGCAGCCAGAATGCTCCTTGGATGGGAGAATTGCCAGATTTCATCTCACCTACTTGGGTCATGTTGTCAGAAGGGACCATTCCCTTGAGGAGGATATCATGCTTGGTAAAGTGGAGGGTCAATGAAAAGAGGAAGGGCCTCAACAAGATAGATTGACACAGTGGCTACAATGATGGACTCAGGTATATCAGGGATCATGGACCTGGCACAGGACTGGGCAGTGTTTCGTTCTGCTGTACATGGGGTCACTATGAGTCGAAGATGGCTCAATGGCACCTAACAACAACAACATTTCTAATTCATTTTCAACTTCTCTACCATAAGTGTAAATACCATTTCAGTATGTGCAGAATTATAAGATTATCTACCAATTTCACATTTTATTTTATTTTGTTGTGATTCGGGTGAAAGTTTACAGAGCAAATTGGTTTTCCATTTAACTGTTCATAAAGATTTTTTTTTTTTTGGCTGAGAGTTGAGCCATAGGGGCTCATATTTTATTTCAATCATCTCCCAGAGTCCTCCCTCCCTTTGATCCAATCTGACTGGTTGCTCTCCAGGTCTGCTACACAGCTGCCATCTTAGGAATTTCCTTCCCATCACTCTGGTAAACTTCTTTTCAATCCTCTGTTGTCTAGCCTGTTTTTGAATTCCAGGTCTCCCCAGTCATTTGTTTATAATATTATTATTGATTAAACATATGCCCTTCCTATCTGTACCTGTGTATTTATATGTGCTGCAAATATATATTTGAATGTGGTAGAGCATACAGGAGACAAAGTTATGAAAACATCTTATTCATAAACAAATGCCTTGAGGGAATGAGTCACTTGGTATGAAGGTTTAGGACCATAATCTTGGGGGACACTAAGGTCAATTGCCATAACACAGTCCACAAAGACAATGTTCTACAGCCTACTTTCATGAGTAACAACTGGGATCTTAAAAGCTTGTGAGAGGTCATCTAACACACAATTATT